GGGCCTCTCCTCTTCTGTCCTCTCCTCTCATGTCATCTTCTCTCCTGTCCTCTTCGGGCCTATCCTCTTCTCTCCTCTCCTGTTCTGTGCTTTTCAGTTTTGTACTTTTCTGTCCTTTGCGATCCCATCTAAGACAGTATTGTAAAACATACGGCCCACAGCCCTGAATCTGCCCACAAAAGGTTTTAATTTCAGCCCCCTGGATGACTTTGTAATCTGAGGCAGCTGAGAAGATAAATAGATAAACGATTTGGTCGGAGAGCAAACAGCAATCTGTTTTTAGTAGACGAGAGATCAAGCTAGCTACCTTATTGTTAAAGATACCTCATCAGCTTAAAATTCATGCAGGCTGTAAACATTACTATGTTACATTATAGCTATGGTAGGCTACCAGGTGTATAGCACTCACACACTCACACACACACACACACACTCACAAGCACTGACTTTGAGTAAGTACTCACAAGCTGTTAGCTATACATATATCAATTGGCCACTTCTTATTGAAATAACAACAGAACAAAGCAACAGAAAAGATGGAGACGTACAAACAACATAAACTCCACAGCAGCTACAGGAGACAAACACAGTGCTGTAGTTGTCAACACTCTGCTCTTTACAGTGACTTATAATGACACAGTCTGATGTAACTCCAGCTGCTCTGCTCGTTCATTCTCAGTGTAAAATATAAGCAGATGAGTCAGGCTCATCCCTGTCTTGCTCTGTTCAATCCCTTTCTCTCCTCATCTTTCCTGGACCAATCTTTTTCTACCTTGTCCCATCCTACACTGGTTCTGTCTTATCCCACATCCTCATTTACTGTTCTGCCCTGTCTTTCCACATCCTGCACTGGCCTTGTCTTTCCCAGCTTGTCTTGCGATGTTCTAACTTTGACCATCCCGTCTTGTCCTTTCCTGCCCTATCGTGTACCTTTTAGTGTCTCTAGGTTTAACAGGAAATGCAAACATAAGATTTCTGCATGTCTCCTGCCTCTAATGGGTCAGTATTGTGTGCATGCCAAATATTTTGTGCATGTGCACCAAACTGAACGCAGCTGAGCCGCCACAGCAGATCAAAAGCTTATCCCCGTGTCAAAGAAGGGACTGTCTCATTCTCTTCAATCCACTGGGATTGCAGAAATTAGATTAATGGCAGACAGAGTGGGTGCACAAATGTGTTTGTACCCTGACTCATCTCCAATGACAACTGGGAGAGAATGGCTTTTTTTTGTAGGAACTCACTAACTTTGCAGATGCACGTTACGTCACTGGGTCGGCATGGAAAGTGGGCCAGGCTTTTTGCACGATGCTCTGTTTTTTAGTGCTATTATGAAATGCACTCAAAAGGGGAAAACAGTGTCCAAAGGGTCACAGCAGTGGTGATATAACCAGCGAAATCAAAGCAGTGAGTAGTTCTTCATTGAGGTTATGGCTGTTTGGACACTGCTTTTCTAATACAAGGTACATTGCACTACATTCGAGTTCTGCCCCCTCAAAGCGAGGGATTAGAGCTGAGTGACACGGTGCGAGGGGTAAATCAAGTTTCTCTGCCTCCAAAAACTCTCTCTCTCTCTCTCTCTCCCTCCCCCCCCCTCACACACACACACTCAAAAACTCTGTCCATCTCTAAATCTCCCTCTGGGTAATCAGTGTGTATTTTTAAATCTGTCACTAATCCTTATTATTGGCATAACACACTGGGCAAGGTTAGCTTTCATACTTTGGGTATCTGCAAAATAGTTAAACGCACAAATGTATACAAAGAGGAAATTTCTCCAATTTGGACACACACCCTCCTCACACACAGCTTTTCAGTGGAAAATCGGGGGCGATGTCCTCAGTGTGACACGTACAGATGACAAAACAGATGCCACAGACAACATCTCTGTGGAGTTGGTGGGAGTTTAGGTCGTCTAAAAAATGACAGAATGTGGCTGTGTGTGGGGGGGGGTAATCATCCAATGGTTTAAATGCTACAATAGTGGGAAAAAATAGCACTGCTTTATATTTAATTCAGCAGTATAAATGAATTGTGCTTAGAAGTAATCTTGAAAACCACGAAGCTGCATAATCTGTTCATTTTATTCTGCACCTAGTTTTAATTGACACATTGTTCATCAGAAGATGTATTCAGTGTTGAAAAGAAAACGTCTCTAACTCGTCCCTGTTTTGTCTTGGTGCAGGAGACGCTGCAGTCCTTCGCCTTCCTTGTCTTTGTGGTGGTCTGCACCCTGGGATCTATCTACCTCTATGTCGTTCTTCCCGAAACTAAAAATAAAACGTTCATGGACATCAGCCAGAGCTTTGCCAAGATCAACAAAATCCCTGCCCCCTCCCCTAGCCATGAAATGGAGCTGGCTCTGTGCATTCAGCCGAAAACAAGTGAAAAAGTCCCAGATGTGAAAATGGAGAGTTCATTCTAAGTGTTGTATTGTGGAGGAATCAGGTTTGAAACTAAAACTGATATTTGTCATTTTTACATATTTATTTTATCACTGTGATGAATGAAATCGAATTTAATGCTTTTTTGATATTTTGTATATTTTGTATGTTTTGTATGACTGGACTATTTAGGAATATTACAGAATTTCAGTTTAAAGCAATTCATAAAATAAAAGGAACCAACTGGATATCATGCTCACTTTTTCTTAATTGACATACAGCATAAAACAATAATGAAGTGCAGCAAACAGAAGGTTTGCATAAAATGCTCATCTAAAGGGAGTCTCGCTACAATATTTGACTTAAAGCTACATTAGGTGATTAATTGGTGTTGGTATAAAAGTAAACAAACAAACTAGAATAACACATAACACCTCCAAGGTCCAACAGCCCCCTTATGAAACCACATTTAATTTCACTAGATCCAGATTTTTATTTAGGTCTGCACCAAACTTACACAATATCAGTCCCCTAAACATTTCTGATTTTGTTTTTTATTCTCTGAGAAATCAAAGAATATGTTGAAAAACCATATCCATAACCGCACCAAAATTAAATGGGTTCTTCTCTGACCCGTACCACATCCTTCCACATTCCGTGGTAATCTGTCCAGTAGTTTTTGTGCAATACTGCTAAATAAATAATAAAGAAAACCAGACTAAAACTTAACCTCCTTGGAGGAGGTAATGAACTTAAAGAAACGAAAATGATCATTTAAATTCAATGCAAGTGACCTATTTCACATCACATATAGTCATTGTCAAAATAAAAATATTGTTGATGGTAATAGTAGTTTTTTAAAGAAGAAAACTTGCTGTTTTACTGCAAAACAGACAACTGCTTGATTAAAAAAAGCTGATTATATTTCATGAGCCAGACAAGCTAACACAGCATGTCTTTATCTCGGTCAGATTTCATCTTTGTTGTTTTCCCAGAGCAGCTTCATAATGAGAGTGTGTGTGTGTGGGTGGGGGGGGAGAGACATATTTTGCAGGATTATAACCCTAATGCTGATGTCTTACTGAACTTCCTAATATAGACAACGGGAGAGAGAGCTCACGTTGCGGAGTAAAGCTGACAGGGACAGTCTTTTGGAGCCTCTCCAAATCTGAAAGGAGCCAGGGCTACTTCCCACCAGATGGTGGAAGCCAGCAGAGGAAGTGATCTGAACAGAGGCAGACAAGCACAGCGTTGGCTAGCAGTCACAGTAGGGTGTACTCAACATTTCAAAGCCCACTGCCTGCAGGGCTAACATCACACCCACTCCACTCACACAGACGCAGATACTAAGGTGTGTGTGTGTGTGTGTGTGTGTGTGTGTGTGTGTGTGTGAGCTTTGCTGTGATAAAGGGCGCCCAAGTATTCAAATGACATTGTAGAAAGAGAATTTCATTGCATCATCACTTTCAGTTTAATTCCTAGTCATATCCAATAAGTTAGCAGTGCATATTACTGACACACAGGCATGGGAGTGAGGAGAATAACAAGTGTTGATTGCTGCTCTGTTCCAGTATGTGAATCTTGAGGAGTCATATTCTCAGCACTGTTAGTTAGTGGGTAATTGACAGAGAGCTTTGCTGGTGATTGCTGCTGTGAGAATAATTGCATTGCATCATATGCGCAAAGACATAAATTCTATATATTTAATAGGATGCACAGCTCGTTCATACTGTGTTTGACAAATTGTCCAACCTCTTAAATAACCTCCCAGGAAATTAAATGAGCTTCCCCTTATGTATTAAGGAGGAAGTTGGCAAAATGTTTGTCTGAATGTGTGTGTGTGTGTGTGTGTGTTGTGTAAGCAAAGCATAGCCTGCCCCTAACTCTATGGCCTCAATGATGAGTGGGCCATTTTGCGGTGTGTCTTCTTTTCTTCTGTGAAAAGTGACAAGCAAACCGGTGCCTTTGCTCTGCTCATGATGCAGAAGGCTACCTCTCTGAGTAAATCACATGCTGGTCAAATAAAAAAGAATATCCAGATGCTTTTATTGTCCCCTTTTCTCTACAGTCATCAAAACCATTATTATTCTCCACAAGGTTTCCTACATTACAGCTGTCTCACGCTCAAAGCATTTTTCTGCTCATCTTTTATACTCACTGATATACTTTCCTCAGTGAGCACATCTGTTACATGCCAACCAACATCCCAGCTACGAATCCTAACCTTTGATCATAAGCAAGTCAATGTTTATTTTTAGGCTTTTGCATGGTTAACTCAAACTGTTTTCCTCTCTTGCACCACATATTTGAGGAAAACCCTGGTTTATCACCTGGTTTTGTGGAGTACCTGGTGCTAATCAACTTGTAGACGACCTGATTCTGGGTCAGGGTTTCTTGTGTGGCAGATCAGCTCCCTTGTTGCGATCTATTGAAAGTCAGTCCTCGATCCAAGCTTTTGTTGTGCTTCTCCGGCGCACGACATTCCCCTCTCTCTGGTGCCTGCAGAGTACCGGGGCCTTCTAGTTTTGCGCAGAGATCTCGTGACATATGGATGCATCAGGGTGGACGACCTCAGTGCTGGGGATGAAGTATGAAGATGCAACAGTTTTGTTACATAGTAGTGCCACTCATCAAAAAATCAGGATGATGTTTACTAGGATTTAGCTGCTGATTTGTTCATCTGTGTGTATACAGCATATTGTATATAGTACTTGTGTCTTTTCTGCATCAACTCAGTTCCCAGAGCAGTAGAGGATTAACCCACTTCAGTTTTAGCCTGACTGCAATAAACAGTTTATCCTCTGAATTACCAGTGTCACAACTGCAGGCGCACAGTGATTCAGTGTCCAGACATTGCACCGTATCGTAATTTGTTTTGGGGAGAAATATAAGGTAAATTCAGATTTCTCAAACCTTGGCTAGTTCATCCAGTTATCTGTGATTTGATATTTACATGCACATGAGATTCTACAAATGAATCTGAAACCCACACTCTTAGACTGATTTATTTTCATCACCATGATATAGTCTTGGAATTCAATACTACATGCACATCTCTTGTTGCAAAGACCTGCTGCTTCCTTTCCTCCCACACTTCTCTCGTCACTTTGCTATTTGCATGATATATTCGTCACCTGACCTTCATTTCGAAGCCTGACCAGAGAGTTGATTATTTAAACCCTGTCTGCCAGCAGGAGTGTTTCAGGCTCTCCTCGGTCCTGTGAGGATTTCAACTTTTTTGTGGTGTTTGTAGCTCCAAGACCTTTGTTGACATTTGCACTTAATAAAACAATGATTTGGCTAAAGGGCCCCTCAACTGGCAGCTCCATTAGAAGGCTGCTGCACCTGGAGCCTCTGCTTTCTCCTTCAGTGCAGCTGGTTTACCACAAGTGAGCTTGAGTACTTTAGACACCCTTGGGTTAATATTGAGACAATAAATGTGTCTGGGAGTTCGTTACCTGTGTGTTTGAGTGCGAGTAAGTGTGTAAGAGCACAGGAGACAGAGATGAGGAGAGGAAGAAGGGGCCTTTGCTTTGGTGGATTCTTCTCATGTCCCATTCCAGTTAAGAAGCCGACATAGAAAAGTTATATAGGTACAGGATTTCCCTTCATTATCAAAAAAAACCTATCATGTGAGTAACACAATAATGGGAAATGAATTATTTCAATAGAGCGATATCTCTGACACCGCGTTAACTCTCATGCCCTGGTATCACAGCGCACTATGCTGTGTGTTATGAGTCATGGTGATACAGTCAAAATAAACCACTCAACATCCATCAGCGGAATTATGTTACTAAACCTTGCTCCTTAAAAATCTTATCTCATATATGCAACATGTCTGACACAAATACAAGCAGTTCACACAGAGGAGACATAAAATTACAAATGTGAATCATTTTTAATTGTTGTCCCATTTAAATTCACCCAAGATCTAAAAAGCCACACATAGAGGTGAAAGTTCATTAGTTATATCCTGTAACTCTTGTTCAGTTGGCACAGCTCAAGCCTTTAAATAACTAGTTTTATTCCACAGTTAAATAACTGCTAATATTTCAGGTGTTCTGCAATTTGAATAGATCTGGTGTTGAGCCAATCACTGTATATAAAGGTGGGCACTGTGATAGGTCCCCATAAGTGAAGCCAACACATCTTGATAGCCCCCTAGTGGCTGAATGAGGTATACATTACAAACCCTGCCCTTCCATGTGAGCAGATGGGACATAGAACAAACTTAAAGATATTTATGTGTCAAATGAATTTTAGGTGATTCATATCACACTGAAGTTAATTTTCTTGTAAGAATATGATTTGTCATTTGATGCTATGAACTGAGGGGTCATGATTGACTTGCTATGGGTCTGGAACATCAACGCGGACCTTTGTAGGGGGTACTACTCTTCTCAATGCAACTGCACATTGAAGTTTACATTCACTCAGTCACCCAACATGATAAATGAGTATACCCTACAGTACAACAGGAGTACTGGTCAGGTCCTAAGGCCTCACTCCTCTTGCACCAACTCGTTAACTCTCGTAAACACAAGACAAAAAGGTTGTACCTCATAGAACACGTTTCACACAGAATTAGCCCTCTCATGAGCTCTTAATACTCTATACTAGCTCATACTATGAGAGCCAAATGCTGTACTCCCAATTGTGACCTTAACAGAACAGCATTGACCATGTATTAGTTTCCATGGCAACATACCCCCCATTCTCCAACTCAACAACCTGGGGCAGGAAGGCAGAATCCCCTGCTCCATTTCACGCCTGATTAACCTTGTACAGTACGGGAAAGTCATTTCAGTCAGGGAGAAATATGGCACCTCTCCCCACTACTGGAGAAGAGAGAGGGGGTCGTCACACTAATGAGCCAGTCTTGCTAATGAGCATTGCGCTATCGGCACACAACACTGCTGCTCTTATTGTACAACACTCTGAGATGCACCAACCTCAAGACCTCTGGCCAGCAGGACGAAGGAAGCACCTCCAGTACGAAACACACAGGGTACAACCAAACATCTACGGTACCACACATGTGGGACGTAAAGCCCAGAACCCTTGGGCAATATAGGGAAATAATCTGTCCCTGGAGGAAAGTTATGCAGGCTCACATCCCCAACTTCACATGTGCGTGATGGCTACCCTTCAGAACTATGCACTTGTGTGTCCACACCACCAGTGTTTCTGCTGCTGCTGCCTTTCAGCACTGAGTTAGCCTTGGATGATAATAACAG